TGTGACAGCCGCTTTCTGTCCGTGTGCTTCGGATGTGTGCACTCAGAAAACTGTATATCAGAAGTTTAAACTCATATGGTTTAAAACGCATGATTTCAGCACGATAAACATGATAATCAGAACCAAAACAGATGTTTTTTAGCAGGTACAAGCTGTAATGGCGCAGCTCTATTCTGGAAAAGGGGGCGGGGAGCAGCAGCTCATTTGCATTGAAAGAGACAGGCCCGAAAAACAGCGTGTTTCTGCTTCCACTCAAAATAGGCATTTTCAAAATTATATAATAAATGATCTGTGGAGTATTTTGAGCTGAAACTTCAGACACATTATGGGGACACCAGAGACTGTAAATTGGGGCATAATATGTCTCCTTTAAATATCTTCTAACATTCAGTGCCTACACCCTTGTATAGGCAGTGCTTCAGGCAACGCGAGTTCGAGTTCGAGTCCGAGCTTGAGCTTTCGTGATCTGATTTCATTCAAATATCTTATAATTAAAACAGCAAGGGTTCCTACGCAGTTTGGAAATATGGAAATTGATTTAAGTAATTCCCAGGAAATGCAGAGAAAAAGGCAACTGCAACACTGCTATTTTATTTGCGCTTATTTCATTCATAGAGTTTACACTCATTTACTTCACACACTCGTTATTGCATAGTAATTTTAGAGGTTTATGTAAAATATCATGCTTTCCTTTGGCTCACCGGTTCCTGTACAGTTTGGAAAAGTATGGAATTTCACAAGTAATTTGCAGGTCTGGAAAACAAAAGTCTTAAAATCCTTTCTATCTTTTATATCAACATCATTTAACAAAACATTTTTTTAAATGTCTGTTTATTGGATTCAAGATTGCCTGGCAATAGTCTCAGAAAACCTGCTGGAATTGTGTCAAATATGATGCTATACTCCCATGATGATACTAAATTTCATTAAAAATGTGATATATGTCAACAGTCAGCCCTTATCATCCATTAATTGTGATAGCAACAGAATATAATTTTTAACCCGTTTGTCATATAAGATTGATTTATTCTTGAATTTAAAATTATTTATTATTGCAAATTAGTTGTTTGTGGAGAGAAATGTTTATAACTAAGAAACCAACATAAATGAGCCTGTCTATGAACGCTGGATACTGCAATAGGGAGTTTATTGACATCAAAATCACTTTTAAGATGGAATTCTATACCCCCAACTTAAAAACAAAAATAGATTTGGAATTATGTACCATATCTTTATGTTTCATATGATGCCTAATCCAGTTCAAAAAGGGTGCATTTTTTCATATTTTGTAATGAGTGGGAGCAGGAGATGAGGAAAAAGAAGGCAGAGGCAAGGATCTAAATGCAGGGTATTTTATAAAGTGGCAATGTAAACAAAGGAGACAAAGGCGAAGCTGGAGACCAGGGCAGAGCTGGAGACCACGGTGGAGCAGGCAACCAGGGAGAAGCCTGCAGAGCAGGCAACCAGGGCAGAGCTGGAATCCAGAGAGAAGCCGATGGAGCAGGCTGCCAGGCGGAGCTGGAGACCAGGGAAGAGCTGGCAGAGCAGGCATCCAGGGCAGAGCAAGCAGATCAGGGAGCAGGTGTGGAGCTGGCAGAGCAAGAAGCCCAGAGAGTTCAGAGGAGGCCTCCATGGCTGCAACTGGAAGCATAGAGGTTTTAGAGAGGGACATTTTGCATGTCTCCCATATCACACACACCCAATTCAGGTCTTGCAGTATCTACTAATGAGCTAATGAGTGGAATCAGGTGTGTTAGATGAGGGAGACATACAAAATGTGCAGTGCTGGGGGTCCTCCTGGACAGGTTTGAAAACTCCTGGGGTCAGTTCTTTGTACATTGCTAACTAGATCGATTTGTTTGTTGATGATTTGGCATGATCTTGGATTGGTTGGTTCTTCGAAGCTCATCCCGGAGTTGCTGTCATAGCAACAGGTCTGTAAGTTTAAACCTGTTCGGGAGCAGGTTTATTTAATGTAAACAGGATTAGATTGCAAAAAATTAATTTGAAAATAATATTATAATGTTGTGTTTTCTATAATACTATAGACACAGTCAGTTTTAATCATTGAAAGATTTATTCTTGATAAAATAATTACTTTATAATTTTATTAGAGTTTTAAGCACATGCTATACAGTTAATATGAGTCTTGCATTAATTTGAGTGGTGACAGCTATTATGGGAGTGGCTTGATGGAGCGCAGGAGATGCAGATAACTTGATCTTGACCCTTAAGAAAATACAAAAAAGAACACACAGTAATCTTAGACAACTTAATCCAGATATTTTAATCAAATCCGCAAATTCGTTTGAAGAACCAAATTAGTCAGAGAACAGTTATCACGATTAGAAGATATGGCATCTTTCAAATCATCTCAGACGTATTAAGCAAGGTACAAAGAACATGCCTTATCATTTCGTTCTCTTGCAGCTCAAACCGAGTGGGTGGATGACACTTTGAAACTGCTGTTTAGGAAAGGACTGAGCCTTGAACTTCAAACCGAGCTAGTTTGTCGCAATGAGGGAAACACTCTTAGCGAATTCATAGAGTTGACCATCCAGATTGGCAATTTAATCAGCTCTTGACGTCCTGTTCGCACAATGCATTTCAACACGCAAGCATGTGCCTCAAACACAGAACCCATGCAACTCGGCTTTACTCACCTGACTCCTGAGGAACGGGAACCACGATTGCGTCATCAGTTGTGTATGTACTGTGGTCAAGCCAGCCATCTCAAAATGTCATGTCCGATCTGACCAACCTCATTCAACCCCAGATCGGTGAGTTCCTGCACCCAGTGATTATTTTGCATCATGTCTTAGAATACCAGTAGAAATATTAATCAATGATAAAACTATATTCACATCTGCCTTGCTAGATTCAGGGGCCTCTGGTAATTTCATCTCCAATGAGTTTGCTCAGCAACACAGACTCACATTAACACCTTGTACTTTTCCTTTGGCAGTGGAGGCACTAGATGGCCAACCTCTAGGAGAAGGAAAAGTTTCACACATCACCGAGGAAGTTCACATGCAAGTCGGACTACTTCACAAAGAAGCCATCAGATTCAATATCATTCACACACCAAACAATCCAGTCATTCTTGGCTTGCCATGGTTGCGCAGACACAACCCTCACATTTCATGGAAAGAGGGACAAATCACTCAGTGTGGCACAACCTGCCATAATAACTGTCTGACTCAGATTACTCCACTACACCAGTACACACTGTCACCGATCGATCTAATGCCTAATGCCGGCACTACTCCCCCCAAAGGCTGAATATTTCTGCTGTCACAATCCGAATCAGAAGCCATGAAGATGTATACAGAGGAAGAGCTTGCGAAAGGCTTCAACAGACCCTCCACTTCACCTGCTTCAGCCGGTTTCTTCTTTGTTAAAAAAAAAGATGGTGGCCTCAGACCCTGCATTGACTATCGCGGTCTCAACGACATATCAAATTCCAATACACCTTACCCTTGGTACCTGCTGCCCTAGAACAGTTCCGCCAGGCCAAATATTCATGCTCGATTTACTTTGTGAATACAACCTGATTCGAATCAGGAAGGGTGACGAATGGAAGACTCTCCACCTCTACGGGACACTACAAATTTTTGGTTATGCTGTTCGGCCTGGCGTGATCCAGTCCTTCATAAATGACGTCTTCCGCGATATGCTTGATTGATGGTTGATTGTGTACATAGACGATATCTTGATCTACTCAAATTCTCTTGAGAAACACATCCAACACGTGAGATCCATTCTCAAATGCCTAATTCAGTACCAACTTTATGCCAAAGCTGAGAAATGTGAATTCCATCAGACAACCACGTCATTTTTTTAATACATCATCAGTCAAGAGGGAGTAGCTATGGATGAGAGCAAGGTCAAGGTGGTAGTAGATTGGCCCCAACCATGTTCAGTAAAGGAATTGCAATGATTTCCTGGTTTCGCCAACTTTTATAGACAATTTATACGAAAATTCAGCTCAGTCGCCACTACCTTAACTGCCATGATCAAATGCTCCACCTCTCGCCTCACCTGGTCACCCGAAGCACTGCAAGCATTCCAAGATCTCAAGACACGGTTTACATCAGCTCCTATCCTCCATCATCCAGATCCAAGTCTTCCGTTCATTGTGGAGGTAGACGCCTCTAACACGGGCAATACTCTCTCAGTGTCACAGCTCTCCAGCTAAGATGTTCCCTTGTGCTTTCTTCTCTAGAAAATTATCACCTGCCAAACAAAACTACGATGTGGGCAACCGCAAGCTCTTGGCTATGAAAGCAGCACTGGAGGAATGGCATCACTGGCTAGAGAGAGCATGGCACCCTTTCACCGTACTCACAGATCACAAAAACCTAGAATATCTTTACTCAGCTAAACGACTGAACCCCTGACAGGCAAGATGGGCTATGTTCTTAAATTTCGTTGTCACATACAGACCTGGTACCAAGAATACAAAGGCATACGCATTGTCAAGACAGACTGATGAAACCGACAACTCTCAGGAATGCTGTGGAGAATCTCATTCCTGAGACCCTGCTCGTTGCACCTGTGCAGTGGGACATTATGATGGAAATCAGTCAGATCAACTCCCAGAATCCTCCACCATTAGAATGTCCATGTGAAATCAGCTTTGTTCCCGAACCTCTTCGAAACAAACTCTTACACCTAGAACTACCTAGAACCTAGAACTCACACACTTCCTTAGAGACTATTGACAGCAAAACCAGTCAGACTGGAGCAAATACCTAATGCGGGCCGAGTATGCACAAACACCTGTGAAAACCTGCCAGAAACCTGCCACAGGTCTGACTCCCTTTAAGTGCATTCTAAGCTATCAACCTCCACTGTTTCCATGGTCTGGTGAGCCGTCCGACCTCCCTTCTGTCACTGAATGGCTGCAGCGCAGCGAGGAGACCTGGAACAGTGCACACACCTGGAGACCTGGAACTTGGAACTGTGCACACACCCACCTTGGAACTATGCACACACCCACCCGTTTAGACTTGCCTACTAATTACAGCATCTAACCCACTTTTCATGTTTCACTCCTAAAACCCACTGGTGGTCCGAGAGGAGAGTTGGAGGAGGGAGCCATGCCCCAAAACCCCCCGCCCATTCTGGTCGACGTTGAGGAGGAGTACCAGGTTCGAGAACTACTCGACTCCAGGCGCCGGGGCGGCATACTCCAGTATCTGGTTGACTGGGAGGGATACGGTCTGGAGGAGTGATCCTGGGTCAATGCGGAGGACATCCTTGACCCCACACTCACAGAGGAGTTTCATAGGACGCATCCAGAGAAGCCGGCCACGTGGTAGCCCCCGACGTCGTTTGCCTCTTCGCGTCAGGAGCTGCTCGCGGGGGGGGACTCTGTCACAATTGAGGCTCCCACACCACCGCCTTCGCACCACCAGAGGGAGCCCTCACCTGAATATTGACTATTCTCCATTCGGACTTCATTCCCCATAACCCCTATACCTGGGACTGATTGCACCCACACCTGCATCACATCTCTCTCACACACACACACACACACACACACACACACATACACACACATAAGCACAACACACACACATCGCAAAGTCTTTATTTGCTACGGTGGTCAATTCTGAGCGTTTAACTTGTGGATTGTTATTCTGTATACCCAAAGATGAAAATTCTGTCATTAATTACTCACCCTCGTTCCAAACCCGTAAGACCTCCGTTCATCTTCGGAACACAAATTAAGATATTTTTGACGCATTCTGACAGCTCTCTGACCATCCCATAGACAGCAAGGGTACTACCACGATCAACGTCCAGAAACATAGCAAGGAGATCGGTAAAATAATCCATGTGACATCAGGGGTTCAACCGTAATATTACGAAGCTATGAGAATACTTTTTGTGCGCAAAAGAAAAAAAAATAAGATTGTGAAAAAATTGTGGTTTGATTTGAACGAAACAATGTATCCACGCTAGGGAGGAGACGAGTTGTTGAATAAAGTAGTTATTTTTTTCTTTAGAGCACAAAAAGTATTCTCGTAGCTTTGTAATATTACGGTTGAACCCCTAATGTCACATGGATTATTTTACCGATCTCCTTGCTACGTTTCTGGACGTTGATCGTGGTAGTACCCTTGCTGTCTATGGGAGGGTCAGAGAGCTGTCAGATTCCATCAAAAATATCTTAATTTGTGTTCCGAAGATGAACGGAGGTCTTACGGGTTTGGAACGACATGAGGGTGAGTAATTAATGACAGAATTTTCATTTTTGGGTGAACTATCCCTTTAAGTCATTTTTATCCATCTGTAATTTGGCTCCGAATCTCAGGTGTAAATGATCGTTTGTTTGATTATTCCTTCAGCTCAGATTTCAAAAACAACAATGTAGTGTTTGGACTTGCAATGCTTTATACTGTAATTTAAAAATGTGTCTGCATCATAATTCTGAAAGATGGAAACAAAAGTGTGATTCATCACAACAAAAACTTTCAGTGAGAACAGAGAATCAAACTGCTCTGGGGCCTTCAGTGTTTGTTAGCAGATAAATACCACCTTAAACACACTTTCTTTTCTTTATTAGCTTCTTTGTTTGATTACAATTATTTGTTATTTTAACATATTAGTATAATCATTAAATACAATTCAAAGTGCTTTTTAGGCCAGGCATGCTTCTCCATATAAAATGGTTTCTTTGAACATGGCATGCTAATTCCATTTGTGACGTGACCATGAAATATAGAGACTTCATGTCCTTTGTCCAAAAGACAAATATGAAACATTTGTTGGGTATAAAATAACTACTTGCCATAGAAACTAATATTCTGATGTCTGCAAAATGTGTATTTATGGATTTTAAAAATATGCAAATACATATGAAAAGACCCCTGCACAACACAAATCACATTATGTACATGATTCAAACTTGTTACTTCTGAAACGTTCGGTTTTCTTTTTTTTTATGAATAGCAGATCCCAAAAGAATGACAAAAGAAGTAAAACATTAAATATACATTTCAAAGCACCAAATGCAAGAATCTTCCCTTTAGATATTAAATTAGTAGTTTTTTATTGTATGTAATACTGTGAATGTTTTAATTTGTACTCCTATCATCTCTGTGTGATGGCAGTCCAATCAACACAACCATGATGTATCAATGCTAAATAAAATTATATATATATATATATATATATATATATATATAAAAACTTATTTTTTTTATATAATATGTAACCTTATTTGTGTATTATACAGCACCAAAAATATAATCATCACTCTAGACTACTTTCATTTTTCAGTGTTATTTTCATCACAATCAGAACTGGAACATAATCTTATAGCCACTGTCATTTGAAATATGAAAATCAGGTATGCCTTATAAATATTTGCATTGCTATTTTTGTTGCAAAACCCTTAGGGAAACGTCCTTTGGATGATGCTTTTGTGCTCTACTTCTAAAAATAAATGCAATGATCAGTTGTAATTTTCCCTGGGGAATAACACTGAAAGGATATT